CTGACTTCTGACCAWAATGGTATTTGGTCGGGATTATTATGGAAAACTGTCCTCTTTCATTTTCCTTGCAAGAGATGTCTTCAAAGTCTTTAAATTTTTGGCTTCCCGTGGAAACAACAGTTCTACATTTAAGTTCCATCGCCTGATTCATTAAAAAAGTAGGAAATGTAGTATGGGCTTTTTCCATCATCTTTCTCCTTGTATCTTTTTGCTCTACTTATTATCTTTTTTTGCACAGGGGTACCTTGAAGGTAAGTGTTAGAATTCACAGTTTTCTTGTCCTTGTGATGCTGTTCTTCTCTGTTGTGAATTTACATTCTTGGCAAGAGGAATGGCATGAAATATGCTGGCCTCTTTTTTTCTTCTATCAAAATAAGTATTAAAAATCATTTAATTTAATAAGCCTGGAAATACTTTCTGAACAGAAAAAAAAAGAAAAAAAAGGAAAGCCCAGATAAACAAACCCCAGAGAGAACCACAATTCACACCAAAACCCAAATAAAATTCTCCTGCTTGACAATATTTAAAACATTTCACTCTTAGGGCATGAAATCAATGCCATTGCAATTCTGAGCTTCCCTGACATCACCTTTAGAAAGAGTGCTGCTCCTCTGTTTTCCACATTTCCATATGAGATAGCTGAAGCATTGCAAAACATTTCAGGTCAGCATCAGAGTCTGCTGGACTCTGTGTATATGGCACATCTGTATCTTTTTCTGTGGTGCTCTCGATGAAGAGGTTCACAAAAGTTGAAGTGAARCATGTTTATGAAGGTGATTATGGCAGTTAGTGAGTATGGCCCAGGCATTTCTTGCTTGAGCAGAGGGAAGACTCATCCAAGGAAGATGGGATTCATTGGGCAGGCCATGGGCCATGTCTCAAGACTAGAATGAGTGATAATGTGGCTGTCTTGAGAACTCATGTCCCAGAGTGAGAAATGAAGRATGCCTAGAGAAAACTGTGAGGCAGGATGGGCAGTGTCTTCTGCCKGGGATCCTTTGCAAGGCTCTAAGTTTCTGGAGTTGGAGGCCTTGTGGATCTTGAGATGCTGTGTGGTGTTGAAATGGCAACAAAGTTCTTTGAGGTTATGAAGATCTCCCACAACAGAAGGAGATTTGTCCTTATACACCTTACTGTAAAAAATGTATTGGTAGGGGGAAATGCAATGCRGGCCTCTGAATATTGTTTGATGAACCACTTCCCTCTTATTTTGAGAAAGGCATTGTGGGAGGGTGGGACTTGAGCTTGCTGGAGTCCTTGTGTAGTGGTGGGCATCTATAGAGACTTCCTCATCTGTTGATTTTGCCATGATGGTTTSTTGCTGCTTATCAAGTGCTATTTTTAAGGGGATGTGATGAGGAGGTGGGTATCCTCTGTKTGGGCCTCACTTCTCCTACCTGTACATTTGCAGGGTCAGCCTCAGTAGAAATGGGGTGTCCCCTTGTCATGCTTAACCCTGATACATGCGCAGGCACACTAAACCCCCCTGTGCACCCCAGATTAGTTGCTACATCATAGAAATACTCCCAGTTTATATTGTGACTGTGCTTGTGCTTCAGCATTTTGTATGGTTTTCTCGAAACAAAAYGAAACTGGATCAGGATCAGAGCTGTCACTCTGATCACAGAATTTTTAACATCTCCAGTATGTAGTTCTGTGGTGTTTCCATCTGAGAATGCTGAAAAAGCACAGAACATTTAGGGTGTATTTCACAGTTTGCCAGACATTCTTGGCTTTGCATCCCTTCATACATTTTTTATGATGATTGTGAGGGAAGATGGRCATGTGCAAAGGCCTGGGTCATRCTCAGTGTGGGATATGCTGTTTTGGTGGAGCAGTTTGGTTTCTGCAGTTRTGATCCTCTGAGTGGCATGGAGTATTGCTTGGGCTCTCTGTCACAGGGAGGGTGGCTTTGAGTGGATGACTGTCTTCACTAATAAGCACTCTGTCATTGGGCAAGAAAAGCTCCAGCTGCTGAGATGGAGATTAATTTCCCAGAGCTGGGGATAGATGATTCGAGTGGAAAATCTTTTGAAGACACCTGTCACTTGGGGTTGCTTGCCTGGTTCTCCTGAAGTCCTGTGTATCMTTGGTATTCTCCATACTCTTCCTGCCAGATGTGAAGACATCTACCACACACAACTTGGATCACTTTTGAAAATATGGTGTTGATGAAACAGAAGCTTTTCCAAATATCAGTCTCATTTGGTCAGCCTTCTCTGAAGCTCTCCTCAGTTACATCTCTGGTCTTGTCTTGATAGGGAGTGGAAAAAGTTCTGTCCATAATCAAGAAGTTGCCACACCTGGCATTTTGCTATGGTGGAATGGGACTGTCTAGTTTTCTTCTCTCCTTTTACCAAAAAGTTCCATGTTTTTTATTTTTATTTATTCTTTTGCACTGGTAATGCGTGGATAAGAGCGGATTGAACGCAGACTGCTGAACTTTGGCAGCTGTCAGGTGGTGGAGTTTCCAGCAGYTGATCATCAGTATGAGGAATGGATTTTCCAGTCTCCTAAGCTGAGGTTGGCGTTGGGAGAACGTCCTTAGCTTTGCAGGTGATAGAAGTGCATGAGGGAGTATTGCACTCTATTCASTGATTTAGAGGCGTTTGCAGAGTGTGGGTCATTTCCCCCTATTCATCTTTCCCAGRAATMTTTGATAACWTTAAAAGAAAATGYCCTTCAGAACCAATTCCCCTCCCTYGAAGARATATCTTTACTGAAGAAGGAGMCAGGGATGCTYCAGGTAAGTTGCTGCTACCTAAATGACATGAGTGTGAAAGACATTGTACCTTCATACCTGTTCAGTCGTGCTGTCTTCATTTCGGATTGACCAAATGTACCTGGATTTGGAGTTGGACTTGATGTGTCTTCTGGTTTGAAATGTTCTGTGATTCCTTTATTGGATCAGCACAGCATCACTGCCTGCTGTCATTCMTATCTTGCTGCTTCTAGGCACAATATGAGCAAATGAAGCATGGATGAAGGAGGTACCCTAATGCATTTCTTGGAGGGGATGTGTTGGGAGTCAGGGGTGTGTTCTCAGAGAAAATGACACAGATACATTTACTTCGTTGCCTTTATCCTTCGGATCATGCTACTGAGAGGCATTCCATGGGAAGTAATGTTCCTGGGCATGGATATTCTTGYTCTGTGTTTCTTACTGTGCTGGCCTGCCTCAAATAAGAAGCCAGAATTTTATTATTTATCCTGCTGGTGGCAAATCATTACTGAGAACTGAAGAACAGTTCTTCATCGAGGTGTATGAAGAGTGTTAGGGAGCTGTGGTTGCTCCATATTTTTTCAGCATTCTGRAAGGATTGGTGTGGTGGGCTGTGATGGCTTTCACTCCCAGAAGAAAAGATTTCCCTGGATTTTTTGTGTTTATTGAAGGCTGTTTGCACTGATGTCAAAGCACCTTGGGATTTGGCTTGTGTTTCAGAGAGCTGTGGATTCTCTTCCCTGAGAAAATGGAAACTGCAGACTGTGGCTTCCTTCCAGAAGGTGAGGTGAAAGAGCTCTCACCTTCTGGCATAGACTTGAAGTTAGTAGGAACTTTATTCCTCGGGTGAACAGATGAAAGATGACAGAAGAGAGGAATGTGAACTGTTACCAAATGGCATGTGCGTGCTTCATGGAGAGAGGGATGTAATCATATGGAAAAATACATTAATTAAAGAGACAAAAAAGAAGGAAAGAGAGAAGAAGAGAAAATGTGTGTGCATAAARACAGTGAAGAGGACGAGGAAGGAAGGACGGGAGAGTTTATCGGCATGTCACAGATGCTAACGTTGTACACAGAAAAAGAAAAAATAAAGAAAGCAGGACCAAACGAGTGACAGAAGAGAAAGAAAAGCAAAAAGAAAATACTATGAAGGAATGACACAAAGAGGTGATTAAGAATGGAAGAAGGCAAAGAGGAAAAAGAAAAAAAAGAAAAAGAGATTAGCAGTACCCACCGACCTTACCTCTAATCGCAGGGCAGAGTTGGTTCTCAACAGTTTCCATTAGAATATTCCGTGAATCAGTGCCGAAGCCACGTAATTAGAGTTGG